TATATATATATATATATATATATATATATAGTTTTATATTTTATAATTGTTTAGGCTTTATAAATTCTTTTTTTTTATATTATATTAACAAGAATTATAGAAAGACTTATATAACTCACGGATTATTGCAAAATTCCAAATTGAAAAAACAAAAGTCCGAGAATAAATTCATTGTTAGACGGAAAATTATCTGAAATCGAAAGATTACGGTACGTCGTAGTCGTCATCTTCTCGCTTCCTTTTCAACGATTCCTCGGTCTCCATCTTCACGGTCGGCAACGTTTGAGCGGAAGTGATTTGTATCTTCGGTTTCGTTACTTGTGTCTTCACCGTTGCGGTGCTGGTCGTAGCTGCGGAAATGTTTAAATTAATTTACAAACATCTCTAAATTAAATTAATTTTAGATGTAATCAAGTTTAATTTTAAATTTTGAAAATATTAAATTAAATTTTTCAGTTTAAGGTTTCCTATCAAGTGAACATGTGGATTTTGTTGCAACATTCCTATAATTACGTACATATTTCATATCAAACTTTATTTTATATTAGAATCTTACTTGCTGGCGTTCTAAAAGATACACGGAATGGTACGGAGGAATGGGACTGCAGTAGGTGGAAAGAAGCTTGGATTCCAAATGGAAAAATGGATATATTATTAGGTATATTTACATTAAATAAATAGATTAGCTATATAATTGATTAATAAGAAATAAAACAAGAGAGAAGAAAAAACAAGAAATAATTATGACTAATAATTATAATTATTACTCGTTATAAACTATATAATATATTTTACCTGTCGAAAATTTCAAAACTGGTTTTGGTACAGAAATGCTTTGCGTTCTAGCAACAGTAGTGAGTGTACCGGGTCTTTTAACGATCGATACACCAGTTTTGTTTCCCTCCACTTTTGGTCTCGATTGTCCACCAGTTTGATTATTGCCAACCAATGAATGCGCAGATTTTTGAACGGCCTTTTTTGTCGCGTTTTTAAGTCTATAATTTGTTCCATTTAAGCAATATCGATCCGGAGGTAATCTGAGACCATTACTCGGCTTGACAAAGGGTAACGGGATGTTGTTTTTGGCACGTGCCACATCCAGCAGTACATCCCTGGGTGGTGGATTCGTAAAAGAACGTTCCAGCTGCATTTTAACTGCTAATCTGACATCATCCAAATCAATAAACTTCTTTTTGGCATGATTAGCATATACCTTACTATCGTCCAATATACATGTGACGTATCCTGTAACAAAATTTCATTTATTAAGTCTAAAGATTCTTAGAATCCAGAGTAAAGGGAAGAAGAGAAGAAACGATAAAATGATAAAAAATAATAAGATAGTAAGATATTGTAATGGAGAGAGATTGTGTGTTAGATCAAAATAGCAGATCATTTGAAAATAGTAAAATTAAATTAAAAAACTAAAATCAAATCAAAAATATTTAAAATAATAAAATAAGATGTTGAAATATAGTAAAATAATAACGAAAAATTATCAAAATCGTCGATAAAAGCAAAAACTTACGATAGGTAAACTCCAACAATTGATTGATCACTTTTGGCTCGTAATCCGTTATTCCCATATCTTTCATGATTGACATGATGACTTGAGCATCCTTGGGAATATGTTTGATGTGGCTCATGGTTTTCGCTTTCTCTGACATATCTTTTTTCACGAAACTATAATAATATCTCTTTTTCAAGATCTGTTATAAATGTCATAAACAGTATACATTTTTCACATCAAAGGGAAGCCTTGGCTTTAGGACCTCAGGTTTCTCTCTAGCACTTTCTGGTTATAAACACACTTTAGAGTTTTAAAGCCATAAACGTAAATATATCTAAGATTGGAACTCGTCCAATGTTTTTGCCTCACAGATGTCACTAAGGTCACTAGAAATCTGTCAAGAAGCTGAACGTATCTACATACGAATAGTAGATTCGCGTCGCGCCGCTATAACGTATCTCTTCGTGTTTCTGTTCTCCGGAAAATTTGCTGTCAATCATCAAACGTTCGATGAAATTCAGCAAGATGAATATCACCTCAGCAGGTAGATCAAATAATCTTCTATCGCCTCAAGTACATCGGTTATTTATTGATCACGCGAGGGTTTTATTATGTTTGCGTCAATTTTCGTACGATGATTTGCAAATCACGCTAACTTAACCTTGAAAGTACTTTCGATAATTTTGGCACCCATTTTAATTAAAAGCGTAAAGAGACGAACTTCACAGGATTTAATTAAATAATAAATATATTGTGCATTATTTATTACTTTATTATTCATCTTTTATATGTCATTGTATATAATTTTTGTTCTAATTTTGTTACATTACAGTAATATGACGATAATAATTTAAATATAAATGTAATTATAATTTTTGCAGCTGGCATAATTTCCTTGTTGGAGGAGCCGATGCCCGAACTGAAAGTGTTTGCTTTGAAGAAACTGGACATGATAGTCGACGAATTCTGGCCCGAGATTTCTGAGGCTATCGAAAAGATGTATGTAAAGAGCAAATAAACTTATTTTTATTCATTTTTATTCATCTAATATTGCTTGTTAGCAATCTCATTTTTTGAACATAATGTTGTTTTTGCAGTGAAATTCTGCATGAGGATAAATTGTTCCAACAACATGAATTGGCTGCTTTGGTTGCCAGCAAGGTGTATTATCATCTGGGTAGCTTTGAGGATTCACTGACTTATGCTCTTGGAGCAGGAGAGCTATTTGATGTCAATGCTCGAAACGAATATGTCGACACTACTATTGGTATGCCAGAATTATAATTATTGTCAACATGTTTATATTTTAAATAGCTGTCTTTAAATACATAATCTTTCAGCCAAGTGTATTGATTTTTACACCCAGCAACGTGTCTTGGAGGCGGAAGGAAAACTTCCCCCAGGAAGCAAGGGTATTGATCCTAGACTGGAAGGAATAGTGAACCGAATGTTCCAACGCTGTCTTGATGACAATCAGTATCGTCAGGCCCTGGGCCTTGCCCTGGAGACACGCAGGATGGACATATTCGAAGCAGCTATTATGCAGTCGGTGAGTATTAATTTCATCTCATTGATACTTTAATTGTCTATTGATACTTTATAATTGTTGTATAGTTCGATATAGGTTATTGATCTATAGGTTATTGATTTCATATTGAATAAATTTTTTCGAACAAATTTAGAAATAAAAATACAAAATTACAAATTTAATAATACAAAAACACAAAATTCTCTTTTTTTTTTCAGGACGACGTGAGCGGGATGTTATCATACGCTTTCCAAGTAGCTATGAGCCTGATTCAGAACCGCGGATTTCGCAATACTGTGCTCCGTTGTTTGGTCAGCCTCTACCGGAATCTCGGCACCCCCGACTATGTCAATATGTGCCAGTGCCTCATCTTTCTGGACGATCCGTTGGCCGTAGCCGAACTTCTGGACCGACTGAGCAAGGGTTCACAGGACTGTGTGCTGATGGCTTATCAGATCGCCTTTGATCTGTACGAATCTGCGACCCAGCAGTTTCTCGGTCGTGTCTTGCAAGCTTTGCGAGCTACTGCGCCTATTCCGGGCGCGCTGCTGGTTAAACCTGTGGTTAAACCAGCTGTCGCTACCACTGCCGCCAAGAGCGCCGAAGACAGCACGGAGACTACGAACATGGAAACCGATGAAGGGACTGCAGCTCCCAATGGGGAAGAGAAGGCCCAGCGCAGTGTTGAGAGTTTGGTAAGTATTATTTATTTCAATAAAATTATATATATATATATTATTAAGTTGTAGATATTAGCTAAGTTATAGAATTTTTTCTTAATCACAGTAATAATTATAGATTATGTTCTCTCTTTCTCTTTAATAATTTATTTTTTATTTTATGATTATAATATATATACTGATATGTAATATAATATTAATATTGATTATTATACATAATGAGAAATTATTTATAATATCTTATGGTACTTTTTTGTAGAATGCAGAGGAGAGGGAGCAGCAGGAGCGCGTGGACGCTCTATCCAGCATTTTGGGTGGCGAGGTGTCCATTGACCTGCATCTGCAGTTTCTGATTCGCAGCAATCATACTGATATGCTGATTCTGAAGAATACCAAGGACGCGATACGAGTTTCGATTTGCCATACTGCCACTGTAATCGCGAATGCCTTTATGCATTCTGGGACAACTAGCGATCAATTTTTGAGGTATATATTTATTTTGAAAACTTAAGTCAATTTAGAAACTTTTTTTTTAATATTTTAATTTTTTGTTAGAATTTTTTTTTTTATTTTAAAACAAAAATATGAAGACAAAAATGCTAAAGTTTTTAATTTTCTGAACATTTTATTTATTAAAATTTGTCAATTTCTTGAAAAAATAAAATATAAGAAAAATAGAGTTTTGAAGAAGTTTCAATTTTCGAAAATTCTTATATTTTTCAGGGATAATCTAGAGTGGCTAGCACGAGCTACTAATTGGGCGAAACTGACTGCAACAGCTTCTTTGGGAGTGATTCATCGGGGTCACGAGCAAGAAGCTTTAGCCCTCATGCAATCTTACTTGCCGAGAGATTCCGGTGCTGCGGGTGCTGGATACTCTGAAGGCGGCGGTTTATACGCTTTGGGACTTATACACGCTAATCATGGGGCCGCAATCACGGACTATCTTTTGGGTCAATTAAAGGATGCTCAAAATGAAGTACGTAATATTCATATAAAATTATATTTTAGAACTATATTATTTATATAAAATATTTCTATTATATGTTAAATTTAAATATTTTTATTATAATTTATTGTTTTACTAAATTAATTAAAAAATGAAATACCTGCATAAAATTGAATATATGTAGTTCGATATATGGCTTATCTTGCAAAATTTATTCGTTAGATGGTCCGTCACGGTGGCTGCCTTGGCCTTGGATTAGCTGCGATGGGCTCGCATAGACAGGATGTTTATGAACAACTGAAATTTAATTTGTATCAAGATGACGCTGTGACCGGCGAAGCGGCCGGGATTGCTATGGGCATGGTCATGCTAGGATCCAAATCTACGCAGGCTATTGAAGACATGGTCGCGGTAAGTTCAATATATATTTTATATCTTGTTTTATTTCATCTATTTTTTTAATAAAGAATATGCTCTTATAAAAGCAAAGACAAAGTAAAAGTTGGCGTTAAAAGATTGAAAATAGATCCTCTGGTTTTTCGGTTTTATATCATGTTATTTTATGTAAAAAAGATTTTAAAGTCTAAAAACGTTTTTGCCGTTAATAAGTTAATTAAGTTAATTAAGTAATCTGCAAGAAAATACAAGATAAATCAGTCAAATAACATGAAGTATATAGGTTCAGAAAGTATTTAAAAAAATTATATTTAATACGGTAAAAATATGTACAAAAATGTATAGGAATATGTATACAATAGCGTTAATTATCATTCAAGTGCGAATGGTGACTCGCTGGCAATTTCTAGAGCATATATTCCACGTATTCTGAAAATGATAGAAGCGATAATGCATTATTAATAATCATCTCGATCAAAGAAAATGCGGAAGTCTGTGGGCGACGCCCAATATTTCTAAATATACTTGATTAAAAGAAGTAGAGAAAAAAGAGATAGGAGGGAACGAAAAAGTATGCTGCATCTCGTAAAGTGACAATTATCCATATTGAAGAATGAGAAGACGTACTTGCTTTAAATCGAAGAATGGTCCGCTCATGAATATATTTCCGGCGCGGAAGCTTTTTGGATTTATAATAGATTCGACGTAGTATCGGAAAGCTCTCGTGTGCGCGCATCCAATCGCCGTAATATCGCCTGCGAAACGCAGATTAATTAGTCTATTGAGTAATGAACGATGCATCTTTTAGTGAATAATAAACCGACATCGGCGTCGGCGAGCTTTATTTACCGATCCATCTCATCGAACCGCATAAAAACTCATCGTGCAAAAGTGTATCACTCACAGATCAGCATCCACTCTTTGCCCTGATCCTCTAGATTCGAATGCGATCTAAAATAATACTCCTTTTTTATGAATATGCAATTGCAAGCTGAAAAATAATTTTTTCACGAATATGCAATTGCGAAATTCGAGAATGATTGTTTCTTTACGTATATAACGCGATTGCCGGTAAAGCAATCGTCCTCGCAATAACTTTCATGTTGAAAATCTTGCTTTAATTTTTTGAATCTTTTTTTTTATAGCCTGTTGATATGACATTCGTTTGTTGGTGTGATCGATGAGTTTATGATATCGATAGACGCAATAAGTCATTCGCGTGTGAATCAAGAAGGGAGATTAATTTTAAAAAAAGATTAAAGAAAATGATTATGATCATACATCGAACATTATTTTTGTAAAAGAATTATTACGATTTGGTGATAATTCTGATAGTATATATAACAGCATAAACAAGCAAAATTATTGACCTGAAAAATGATTTCAAATGTTTTGATGATAAAACGATGTTTTCTTGCTGCCGGAGTGATGATGAAATAATGATAATGTAGTTGTGTATAAAAGATACGAAAATATCGGATGAATCATTCCAATAACATGAAGAGAGTTGAGAATGCTTGTGAGAAAATTTATTTTATCGTAGAAATATTTACAAGGATGGTAGCTATAAAACGATCAATCGTTATCCGAGTGCGAACGGTGATGATTTGCGGGTTTGCAAAGTGTACGTTCCTTGCGCTCTGAAAATAATACAAACGGTGATGAAATTGATGTCTCGGTCAATTTGCGTGAAAGAAAATGCGAGAATTTCCGCGGCATTCGATATTTCTGAGTACAAGAATTGAAAAAGAAAATATAGAAACGGGGAGAAGAGAGAAGAAAAACCTTTGTTTTTTTTTATTTCACCAGTTCTTTAATTATCGTATGCGTAATTTAAATTGTACTTACTTTGGATCGAACTTTGGTCCGCCCATGTATACGTGTGTGTCGTCGGCGCGGAAACCTGTTGGGTTTACGATGGACTCGGCGTAGTACTCGTAAGACCTTGAGTGCGCGCACGCAGGCACTGCAAATCAAATTAGCGCGTTAACTAATGAGCCAACAAGCGATATTGACTTGAGCTACCAAGCCATATTTACCGATCTTGCTGCATCCCGGCTGCTTGTTACCGCCGTTCGGATAAAAATCGGAGTCACCGATCGGTTCCGCGATACCGAGAGAACTCGTGTGGATCACCTGCACCACATTCGCATCCGTTTTATCCACCCTTTCGCCTGCTCCTTTGGATTCGAACGAGGGTTTCGCAGGATCTAAAGCTGCAGATCGAGAATCCGTTTTATCCTTTATTGAATCGATTTTAAAAGATTGAGGAAACAATCACGATTTTTTTTTTCAAATATTTAACGTTCACAGAAAAATTTTTCGAGAATGTATCTTTCTTACTAATAAAAAAAAAAA